ACTGGAATATTCCTACTGGTAATTAACTGGTGCGTTCAGAACATCCTGAACAACATTGGAACATTGTGAGGGAGCTACCTGAACAGTTTGTAGAATCTCGTTTGTGATTTGTACTAAGGTTATGAACAGTGGTTCTGATGTTGTATAGATTTACATTGTTATCAATGCATAGTATTTAAGGCATTATGTTCGGTTTATTCTCCTGTCCCTAGGAGTGGCCAGTTAGGTGCTTCCCGGGACCCCAACGGTGCCCTCCCGCGGCAGTCCCCCCCCCCTAACTGCCTTGGAACCTGGACGTTTCATTGATCCAGGCGTCTTCCGTGACATTTTCTTCTTCTCTTTTAAAACCATTGGCCTTATTTTGTAGCAACTGGTGCTCCATGAGATGATTATTTTTTCTTCTTCGCTATCTTCATGTATGTAAGACAGCAGAGCAGTAAACAACCATTGGTCTCAGCAAGTGGAGGTCCACTCAACTCAACCAGCATATATTACCTGAGCCAGAAAAAAGTATCCCCCAGGATAAAATTTATCGGTGGATAATAGAACAAATCTTTTCGTTGGTGCATCTTGTTCTTCTTTGCTTTTTAATTTCATGTCGTGCCTGGATGCGGAAAGCAATATCCAAGGAATTTATCATCTAACGAGATTACCTCTGGAAGAGGAGAAGAGCAATAGCAGAAACTTTATTTCTTGGCATCCAATAAATTTTCTCCAAAATACCGTTCCAACAGCATAACAAATTCCTAATGCATCGTTCAGGTGGCAGCTCTGAGAATTAGATTGTCTTTTAGTGCCCAAGGAGCTGATCGACTGCTGCCGTGCTGTTTGGTCCAGAGGGGCTCACAAAATACCTGTGCAGTTTCCTAGGCAGATCTGGGAGTACGAGAAAGCTCCCCCCCCCCCACTCTCTGATCTAGAACTCATGTCCTTGTGGTGGCTTCGTACAGGCTGACGTTCTTTCCTTCCTCTCTCCATCATTACTCACTGACATTAGGAACCAGTTCTGTATCTGCTAATTCTATTGCTTGGGTTATATCAGAGGCAAACTAAGGTCTGCAGAGCTCCTGGAGACAGTCGGGTCTCGCAGACGCTGGAGGGTTGGCCCTTGGGACCAGGAGTGACATTGATGCCCCACGTGGTGAGTCACT